CTCACATATAGTACTATGCAGACGACACAGTGTTATTCATGACAGTCTGCTACCACCTGATTTGTGGTAGAGTTGCATTTGGGCCCAAAAAAATCTAACTGGTCCCAGCCTGTAACCTTATTTCAGGATTTTTACACAAAAGTTAGTCTAAACTGTTACTGTCCTGAAACTGTTACGGTGTTTTAAATGTTACTGTCTCCAAAACGAATAAGACTTATTTCAGTCAAAAGGAGAAGAAAAACAGCAAATTGTCACCAAATTTATTTTATTGTCTAATAGTGTGATCCTTAAACAAACTTTTTCTGGAACTTTTTTGCAATACAGTGAACCTTCGCTATAACACGGTTCACCTTTCACGGTCTCGCTGCTTCACGGATTTGCATCGTGCATTGTGTTCTGCATTCTGATTGGCTAAACAGTCTCCCCAGTACAGTAGTTATTTGTAAAAAAAATGTTTATACAGTACTTTTATTTGTTAAACAAATGTTTGGGCCTGTAAAAAAGGTTTTGTTCTTTGGTTTGAATGTATTATGGAGTATTTCATTGTATAATAATTGTAAAAAAAAAAATAAAGGTTACTACTTCATGGATTTCACCTATCACGGGTTCTTTTTGGAATGTAACCCCAGTGAAAAATGAGGGTTCACTGTACTATGTTTTCTTTTACTTTTCTGTGGACCTGTGTCAGAGCTGAGCCGGCTGATAAGACACTGCACCATCTCTTATCAGGACTATGGAACTATCTGGCAGTGTCCACGGACAAACTCACCACCTTCGTCGGCCTTCCTCATGCATATAAATCATGATGTCATCAGTATGTTGCTGTTTCTGTGCTAAGTTTTTTCTTGTTGCAATTTTCACACTGTGTCCAGTCTATGACACAGTGTGAGATCTGATTTTTTTTTATACCTCCCCTTCCCTCGTGTTTCTCATTTCCTATCTAAGGAAAATGGCAGCGCCTCTCACGAGGCTGTGGCCTCAGACACTCCATCTTCCCATGTCCGTTTATTTGTTTTACTCAGACGAGCTGTACTGAAATGTAATTTTGTTTCTACGTCAGTGCAATGACAATAAAGCTGATTATGATTTTTTCCCCCATTTTTCTTATCAAAATATTTGGCTCATTAAGGAGATGAGTGTTATAAATTTTGTTTTTTGTAAATGTGTAACTTTTGCATTAACCGTACATATATTCTTATTTTACAAATGTTTTCTCCATAGCAACATATTAAGATCTTTTCAAATTCTTCAAAGAAATATTTTTAAAGTGCTTCAGCTCTATTTTTATCCTTATGCTACTTTTAGCCTTCAGTTGATGTTCTGCTGCTTTTAGCTTCTAGCTAGCCTTTTACTACTTTTAGTTTTCACCATGTTTTACTCCTTTCAGATGATGTTTTACTCCTTTTAGCTAGATTTATTTATTTATTTTTTTTGCTTGTTAAAGTTGTAGCATTTCAGTTTTAGCTTATTCAGCAACTTTCAGAAACATCATACAGCACTCAGCATTTTTTTTCACTTTATTAATTTTTATTAATTTTTTTACAGAAAATGCATCTTTTCTATTATTCATGTCCTAATGTAAATTCAATAAACCACTGTGTTCCATCAATAAAAGACGGATGGTCTTCACCCATTTAAACTCAACCCACGTGTCACTGACAGGAGAACGTGGTTCGACTGCTTTACAGAAAGAAAATCAACAAGTTCAAATTAAAATGACCATTTTTAATCATCAGAACATGAAGAGGTTGGAGCTGCTCGTCATCGAGCCGCGAACCGAATTCACGTGTTTCATTCGGCTCAGCACGACTCAAAACACTGCAGATGTAATGACACGCCACAGCGACTTCAACGTAGAATCCCCTCATTAAAACCACAGATTCTGTCTTTGGTGAACAGGGTTTTGGTAAATAACACATGAGCTGAAGAGGACTTGATCCAGTTCTGATGCTGCTCCTAACCAGCGTGAACCAAACTAATTCAAACGTGAATTAAAGGCGTTTCTTTCATGTTACAGAGGAACATCTAATGATTTGCTGAAAGTTTGATTAAAATTCATTCAAAGTTTAGGAGACAAACGCAAATAGAGAAATTGCATTTCCTGTGAAAATGCAGTGTGAATGCTTATTGCAAAAGAACTTGCTGAGAAACAGCTGAAATGGACTAAAACATATACTGTAATGTAGCTAGAAACATGTTGAAACGTAGCTAAAACATGCTTATATGTAGCTGAAATGGAAGAACAAGTCTAAATTAGCAGAATAAAGCAAAAAGAACACATATTTGGTGAAACTGGTTTAAAAAGGCAGAAATTATGACAAAAATTAAGAAAGTAGATTTGAAAAAGCTGAAATTGGCAACAAAAAATGTCTGAAAAGTAGCTGAAAGACAGAAATAAGCTTAAATTGCTAGAAAGAAGCAGAAAGAGCTGTAATGAGTTTAAAAATGTGGAATTAGTTGAAAATGCTAAAATTAGCATAATTAAGCTGAAATGAGTATAACAAGCTGAAATTATCAGAAAGAAGTTAATTAAGCTGAAAGTAGCATAAGTTACCACAAAAAACTTAATCTATCTGAAAACTGCCAAAATGAGCTAAAAAGGCTAAAAGGGAAGCTGAAAAGGTAGAACAAGCTTAAATTAGCAGAATAAAGCAGAAAGAACATGTTTGCCAAATTAGGCTAAAAGAAGCAGAACTTAGAACTTAGCACAAAAAAGTTGAAATTATCTGAAAAAAGCTGAAATTAGTCAAATAAAAACAGCTGTAAAGTAGATAAAAAAGCAGAAAGAAGCTTAAAGAAGGAAGTGGAAAGTAGATTTTTGCTGAATTAAGCCAAAAAAAGGTTGAAATAAGTGCAAAAACAGTGGAATTAGCTGAAAAAGCTAAAATTAGCATACAACAGCTAAATAATAGCTGAAATACAGTAGCAGAAATGACTGAAATTTGCAGAAAAAAGTTAGAAGAAGCACAAAAATGTTGTACTTAGCAGAAAAAATCTGAAAGGAGCACAAAACAGCTGAAATTAGCTGAAAATAGCTGGAAAAACGTTAAAATTTGCACAAGACAGCTGAAAGAAGCTGAAGCAGAACAAAATGCGAAAGGAGCAGTAAAAGGTGGTGAACCAATCTAAATATTTGAAGGATGTAAAATGAGCTCAATTCATTTTTCATGAAAAAAAATGGCAGAAAAGGCTAAATATTTCAAACAGCTAAAGTTGCACCAATACCAAAAGTCACAGCAGGATTGTCCTGAAAGAGCTGAAAGTTTTGATTTATGACTTGTTGAAATGGCACAAAAATTGTGGAACGAGTCAAGATGTTGAGAAATGTATACGGAAGAAAAATGGATCACAATAGTGTGAATGCTCCATAAGCGTTCACGCAATAATGGTTGTGTTGGATTTCAGCTCTTGGAGGAAGCCAACATCTGTTAGCAGCACAGCTGACAGGAACATGGCTGGTCCCATCGGGGAGGCTTTCAGGAGCAGAGTTGGGTCAATTCAGAGCGTTCACGAGGGGAAAACAAACCAATGGTGACAACACATACAACCATTGAAACTGCAGTTCTTAATCTTTTTTTAATATTATTGATACATCGTTCTTCAAAACTGCTATTTATGCTTATAGTCTTCACAAAGTCAAAGCTTCGTGTTGAACAAGTAAGCCTTCTTAAATCAACAGCTGGGATTTTCTTTTCTATTTATTCAGTTGTATTTAATGAGATCTGCAAGGTGCACTCCTGCTTTTATGTCTTTTTAACCCCACAGAGGACATTAGCTGTTCAAAAAAGGAGGAAAAAAAGGCACAAAAGCAACAATGTTTGACTTCTTTGAAATGCATTCGAGTGTGTGACGACATTAAGATGAAGTGCTCTGCTGCCTGTGAGCTTTAAAGAGGACTCCTCCATTAAAACACGCACAAACACGAGCCTCAGAGGAGTCCTCAGCTATGAAAATTACATGGGCTTTTATTTTATGAATTGTCTGCAAGCTTGTTGCGTGTGTTCTTTATCCTGGAGCGGGGGGAGGAAGAAGAGGGTGGGGGGTCTTAAGATGGAACGTTGCCTCATAAACCCCAATTTAATAACAAATGTTTAAACTGAGGAGTTTGGCTGATTTAGGAAAAGATGAATTTGAATTTGACGACAGCAACACATCTCAAATAAGTTGGAGCAAAGCCAAGTTTACCACTAAAATCATCTCTTTTTTTTTTAAACAAGTCAGCCTTTTCTGAAGATTTTGTTTTGCTGGATGAGAACATATTGTTCTGAAACCTTTTACATACTTTTCTGTATTGATGGCACTTGTCCAGATGTGTAAACTGCCCATGCCATAAGCACTAATGCACCCCCATACCAACAGAGAGGCAAGCTTTTGAACTGTGCACTCGTAACAGACCAAATGGCCTTTCTCCTGCTTTAGTACAGAGAATGTGGAGTCTGATGATGGGACACAGTGTATTTCCATAATTCCTTTGAGGCAATTGTATCACCATTTTGTATTGTTTGCAGAACCTCTGCCCATCTTTACTTCTTCTCCAAACGCTCTCTTCGGTCCTACTGATGTTGCCAATTAACCTATTTGCTGTAAAATGCTCCTCCAGAGGCTTCTTACTTTATGTTTACTGCCATAAAATTCAAAATAGCCTTATGGTTTCTCAAAAAGCAACACAATTTCCTATGTTCAATATGTTACTTTTAATAAAATATGGGTTTGTGAGATTTGTAGTGGCATTTTGCTTTTATTTATACTTTACAAAAAGTCCCAACTTTTCCAGAACGGGAGTTGTAAATGAGGGGAAAATCACGATTTGAATTCATTTTTGTTCAACTTGACCACAATTAAACATTAAAACTCAGTGGAGAATTAATGTTTTTGTCTTTTCCATCGGCTTGAAGAAGTTTTACAAAAGCTTTTTTTTTTTTTAAATTAAGAGTTTATTTATTAATTGTCAAAGTGCATTATGGGAAAAGTCACTGATCTTGACCTTTTAATTAGCCTACCTGGAAGGATCCATATCAGCACCAGCATGGCTCGAAGTCTCTTTAACTCCATGGCGGAACATCCACCGGCTGCTGGCTGAACACTCCCCGGCTTCCGGCGGGCTTCAGGTGACCGTTATTACCTGTCCGGGAATGGAAGCAGCGGGTCGGCAGGTGAAGCTCCGGCGGCTCCCGTTTCCGCTCCGCGCGCAGCCGCCGGAGGACATGGCGGCTCCGCTCCCTCACGGCTCAAACAAACGCTAAATTTAAAGAATTGTTTCTGTCTCCTCCACACTGGTCCGAGCTCAGGTGTGCGCAGGTTTATTTCCGCCGCCTGCCAATGGAGCGTGTGTCGCTCCTTCTTCTGCTCCGGGAGTAAACCCTGAGATTGTTCGAGCTCCAGAGCTGCTCCATGTCGCCCCCTGCCGGTGAGAAAACCTCAAAACAGAAAATTCATTAATTTTAAATCATTCTGAAAACAATCTTAGCTCAATTTTTCCCGCATGGACTAAATTTAAAACACACAAAAAATGCAACTTTTTTTTTAAATACACCATTAAAAAAAAAACAATATATACTGGTCAGGTAAGAAGGAAGTTTCACGAGTTTTACAAAAAGAAGGAAAGAATAACAATAATGACAAAATATCTCTTTCACCTAAATACAAAGAATTACATTTTCAAAACGCTAAATAATATTTATCCTTCTAACGAGTTTATCAGAAATAGATTTAAATTTGAATGTGATAACTGTCATATATGTAACGAACCTGAAACAACAGAGCATCTGTTTTATTTCTGTCATTCTGTGAACACGTTATGGGAATCCCTTCACGATCTTCTGACCATTAAATCCATGAACACGGACTCCTCCTGTCAGAATATCTTCTATGGATATGCATCTAAAATAAAATAAAAAAGATGAATACTTTATTAATAACATTATCATAATCTTAAAATTATATATACATACATGCAGATATGGCAAATCTGATCTTACTTTTATCATATTATTTGCTTATTCTCTGATAATAATACTTAAACATAAATTTATGATGTTTAATATGTTAATTTGTTTACGCATGCGGACCTTAGGACGTATGACAGCAGATAGTTTTACATGTTTATATCATTGTAATTTGAGATGGTCAGTTGGTATTCTGTTCTTGTGTTCCTTTGTGCTGTATGTTCAATAGTTCAATAAAGTAAATTAAAAAAAAAACGTATTTCCCGCCACCATTAAAAGAGTTAGTCTTGACAATATTGAGGTTCTGGTTTTTCGATCTGAGCACTTTAGGAATTAATTTTTCAGTCTTTCTCCCTCCTTAGATGACATTAATCTGTCCTCCAGCTCTAATGTTAAAAATCTTGGTGTCATTTTTGATCAGGACATGTGTTTTATCCCCCACATTAAAAACGTTACTAGAACGGCTTCTTCCACCTGCGTAATATCACTAAAATTAGAAACACCTTAACTAAAAATGATTTGTCACATCTAAACTGGACTATTGTAATGGTTTATTATCTGAGTGTCCAAATACTTCTTTAAAAAGTCTTCAGTTGATCCAAAATGCTGCTGCCAGAGTCTTAACTGGAGTTAGTGGGAGAGATCATATCCCTCCAGTTTTAGCTTCTCTCCACTGGCTCCCTGTCAAATCCAGAACTGAATTCAAAATCTTACTTCTACTACAAAGCTCTCAACAACCTAGCTCCATCTTATATTCGAGATCTTATTGTTCCATATTTTCCTAACAGAGCACTTCACTCTCAGACTGCAGGTTTACTTGTGGTTCCTAGAGTTTCCAAAAGCTCTCTTGTGGAACCAACTTCCAGTTTCTGTCCATGAGACTGACACATTGTCCAGTTTTAAGACTGAGCTTTTTGATAAATCCTATAGTTAGGGTTGACTTGTTATGCTGCTATATGCTTAGACCACTGGAGGACAAACTGACCTAATTTCTTAAACTGAATTGTTACAATTGAATATTTTTCATTTGTTTATGTGCAAACAGTACGAGCTACTGTAGTTTCTCGAAGCGTTGTGCATTTAATTTAAACATGTTGAAACCCCACCTGTCGAAGCTCTAACAGGACAGTAAACTCATACCTCTGCCAACTGCAGATGAGGGATGGAGGACGACCTGAAGAAATGGCAGCAGATTACATCTGCTAGCATATTTAGCTATTTCATTAACTCTGTTGCTTCTGACGGTGAAGTGATGAACAACCTGAAAAGCTCTGAGGCGTATTAGTGTCTACACAGTAATAAGGTTGGTCGTGTTTTGTTAAAAGAGGTGGGGCACAATCTTATTTGTCCATATGTCCATATACCTTAAAGCTGACGTAGAGAGCAGCCAAAGCCTTAAAGTCCTCCATCACTGAGCTTGGGTTAATTGCAGAGAAAATCATAAAACCAAAGACGAACAAGTACAATAATGCAGTTGTGCCCTTCATACACTTGAAATCATACCTGATATTCTTGTCACACTGTTTTCAATCCTTCTGAGGATCAAGCGTCTCCTCTGGTTTATTGTAGCCCAGCCACAAAGTAGGATGCAGGTTTTCCTCCGTCGGCCGTTTGTCAACAAATTCAAATGAGCAGATACAACGGTTAATTTATTTATTATTATTCGAGACTTGACCAAAACGACTACAGCTTCGTAATTTCTCGTCATAAATTAATTTTCGTTTAAAACTCTGGTGTGAACGCTGCAAGTAATGTCCTTTGATTTTTGTTGTCCTCTTGTTGCCGACAGGTTTCCAGGTGGACGTTTTACATGATAAGCAGAGGTTAAGCTGCTGTGTCCTTAAAGAGGTCAGATACGAGCGTGTGTCACCCAGTCTGAATTAATCATGACGTCTCATCTGAATTATTCTGTTGCTGAAATGTAGCAGAATGTCGACACATGTAAGTGCATGCTGTTAGCCTGTTAATTTAAATTTAACAATTAAAATCAAAAATATCGTATACCAGGTTCTTCTGCAGCGTAAAATATGGCATGGTACACAAGTTTGTTTTTTATTTGGTGTAGGGATATTGATGTGAAATAAATGAAGTAGAGACCAAATTTAAAATAACAGGAAGACAACTTGAACTAAAGAGGAAACACTGAACAACATGTTGAATTCGAGGGGTTTAACGCTAAGTGCTGAGAAACAGCCGAAATGTGCTGATGAAGCTGAAACAGAATGGTTAAAGCAGAAAGGAGCAAATCACTTGCTGAACAAACAAACACTAGCTTAAAGCTGAAATCAGTGAGATGCTAAAAGTAAGCAAAAAAAGCACAATACGAGCTACAAGCTAAGTAGTAAAACATGAGCTAAAATCAGCAAAAGTCTCGCTAAAAGTAGCAAAATCTTAACTAAAAGTGGAGTAGTAAAATGGTAGATAAAGCTAAAAGGAGCATAAAACTAACTAAAAACTAAAAAGTAGCTAGATGCTAAACATCCTAAAAGGCTAACAAGGAACTAAAAGCAGCAAAAGACTAGCTAAAAGCTAGTAGCAAACTTTAAATAAATGCTATTTAGCTACTAGCTTTTTTTTGTACTGAATTTGCAGTGTTAAAAATTAAAGTAGCAAAATGCTAAAAGAGCATAAGATGACTTTACTGAAACTTACTCAAGACAAAACTGAGTTGGAAAAGCAGAAAGAAGCAAAACACTGGCTAAAAGCTAACAACAACAAAAAAACAGCTAAAGGTAGCAACAACCTTAAAAGTAAGAAATAGTTAGCTAGAAGCTAAAAATAGCAGTGTCTTGACCAGGGGCACTTCAGCATGTGGCTGCTGGTGGAACTGAACCCACAACTCTTGCATTGGGGGACGATTGCTCTAACCACTCAGCCACAGCCGCCCTTTAACAGATGTTTATATTTGTAATCACAAAACAAAAAGTGACAATTTCCATCTTTTTCATGCAAATATGTAAACAACACGACACAAAGGGAGGAACGTATCCATCAGCTGCACTAGAAGTTAGTTGGACTTCTTTAATCCTGACTTCCAGCCACACACACAGATTTTTCTTCAAAAACTTAGAATTTTGTAACTCATTTCCATCAAGCTACAATGGAGAAAAAGGTAAGTGCAGTTTTCCACAAATATAAATTATTAGCCACTTCTGTATGGCAAGCCAATGTGGTAATAATTATAAAAAGACTTGCATTTGATAAAAACTTAACGGTTGAAGTGTATGATGGTGAAACAGGAGTTTTTTCTTTTGTTGACGTAACATACAAATACAATAAATGCAAACAATTTATTACTGATTTTTATTTTTATTATCTAGATATATTATTTGTAAAGTACTTTTGAAGCGTCTAGTATAGGTTTTACGGCTCTTGGTAAGTTTTAGCGAGCGAAGGAGCAGAAATCTGTTAGATGGACAAGTTAAGTTTAAATGAAACCATAAGTCACGGCTCATACTCGGTTTAAAGCCTCAAAGAGGAAATGTTTTGTCGAAAAAGTAACAAAAATATACAAATAAATCACCTAAAGCTCATGCAACGTTGTTTGCATTTATTATTAACTGTACAAACAGTCACATTATGATAAACATCTACGTGAATTTATTAAAAATCATCCTTCAGTGTATGTCCAAGTCTTTTTTTTTATTCTCAGTTGGAAAAAAAAACTCATGACAAGTACAAAGAAAAGGATTTAGAGACATCTAGTGGTTAAGATCCAGATTATAACAAATTTACACACACACACACACACACACACACACACACACACACACACACACACACGCACACGCACACGCACACGCACACACACAGCCATATCCACAGACCTTCATGGTTTTCAGTGTACATACTGATGTTCTTTACAGACCCTTTATTATCACCCACCTTCACAAGAGATGGGCAATAATGTAAAGCCAGTGCATGTACGTTTATTTGTCTGTCTGTTAGCAAAATATCACATGAACCACAAAGCTAACTTTGATGACATTTTCAGGAAATATTCATCATATATACCTAAACAACTTATTACCTTTCAAAGTTGATCTGACTTAATATGGCCGCCACAGCCAACTGACCTTAGAAAACACAAAAATAGCTGTAATTAAGTTGGATTTACAGATAATTAGCTAAAATTTGGCGCGGTT